CCACTTCTTGGCTATTGTAAATAGTGCAGCAATAAACATAGGGGTGATCTGTCTTTTTGAAACTTGGATCCTACATTCTTAGGGTAAATTCCTAGAAGTGGGATTCCTGGGTCAAATGGTATTTCTATTTTGAGCATTTTGAGGAACCTCCATACTGCTTTCCACAATGGCTGAACTAATTTACATTCCCACCAGCAGTGCAGGAGGGTTCCCCTTTCTCCACAACCTCGCCAAAATTGTATATTAATGATACCAAAAAAAAGAAAGATCACACGGCCCCCAGCCCTGCCTGCCTGGGGGAGTCGAAGGCCGCTGTTCCCAGTGACCTTACTAGTTGGAATTTAAATTTCCAGCAGGTTTGGGCTGTCAGCCATCACCCTGCCACATGCACCCTGGCAGAGGCCACTGCACTTGCCCCGGGGCCCAGGCTCGCCCTCTGCCTGCTCCGGGGCCTCCTCTGCCCTTCGAGCGTGATGCCGTGGCTCTAGCTCGTGGCCGGGTGAGCTGCATCTTCCCTCTGATGCTCCGTTTTGATGACCGCGGTCTTATTCTCTGTGCCAGAACCTTCTCTAGGCCTTCCACCACAGGGAGCAAAGGGAAGGGCCGGGGCACAAGTGCACTGATTCCTGTAAGTCCAGCGAAATCATTTTTCAGACCAGACGTATGTGCCTGTGTCTGCCCCCATTGTGGGTTGAGTGGCAGCCCCAGGGGACGAGCCGCATCTGAATCACCAGCGCCAGGGGATGCCACCTCTTACAGCAGACATGCTCTCATGGCTTCCCCCCATGTCTTCTCTTCCAAGGACACCAGTCAGTGCATTTAGGGCCATCCTAGTCCAGGTTACACCTGTAAAGTCCCTGTTTTTGGATAAGATCACATTCTGAAATTCCAGATGACATTAAAGTCAGAGCGGCCATGCTCAGCGGGGCTCTCTTAGGGGAGACGCACACTGCTGCTGGGACTGGAAGTGGAACACCACCTGGGAAGCCCCAGCCCTCCACCCCAGGGCCATGCTGCGGGTCTCCCGGAGATGCACTGTGGCATCTGAGCAGTGTGTGCCGCCAGTGCCATGTGAGTCCAGGGTCACAGGTCACAAAGGGATGTGCACAAAGGGAACCCAAAGCACGTGGTACTGTTTGGGGATGTACGCAGGTGGTAAAACCATAAAGGGCCTCCAAAATACGGGGTCTGCATGGGGCAGCAGAGACTCTGACCATGGCCAGCCGACAGACGTGACCCACATCGTCCAGGGCCCCAGGTTCAACATGAGCCTACCTGCTCTGGGGGCATGGACATCGCCCTGATCAGTCTGGCGGGGCTCCTAGCAGTGGGTGAGGAAGGGCATCTAGTGGATGGTGGGGCCTGGTGGCCTCAGCTGTGGCTCGAGGTGGCTGCTGGTGGCACCCTTAGAGTCCCCTCTGGGCTTTCTTGGGAAGCGAGGCCCTTGTGGTCGTGCTCAGCACTCCCAGCTGCACTCAGGTGTGCCTGCTGCCTGGTGTCTGGGCAGGCGGCAGCCCCTTGCGCCGCCCTCATGGTAATCCAGGAGGGTGTAGGGGCCGGCGTCAGGCTCTTGTCAGCTGGCAGCAGTGAGGGTCACGTCTGGCCATGCTCTGGTCAGATGGCGGTGTGCTCCCGAGGTCAAGGATTCGGGGCTGCCCTGTGGCTTGCGTGGCTCAGCTCGTGGTGCCTGCTGGGGCCGCTTCCCAGGGCTGCCTCTAGGAAATGTGCACCGTCCAGACACCCCTCGGTGTGGTCCTGCTGGCCTGGATGTGCTCCACAGCCAGAGAGCCATGCAGCCCGAGTGTGGCTGTTGTCTGGGGAGGGCTGGGTGGTGGGTCTGGTAGGCAGCACGGCCAGGGCCCAGCAGAAGTGTCTCGATGCCTGTTGATTGACTTACAGACCTCAGTCCCCACGGGACCCAAGAAAGGAGAAGCCCCACTTCCTGCCTATCCCTGCTTGGGGATAAAGGGGCTCACAGAGGCCAGAGAGGACGGAGGGGGGCATCCCATCAAAGTGAGGACCACGCTCAGACCCCGCCTCCCCTCCCCACTCAGACCCGGCCCCTGCCCTCTTTCAGATGCTGTGGCTGCTCGTCCTGACCCTCCCAGGCTTGGGGGGCTCCCCGCTGTGCTCCCCAGTGAGTCCCAGCTCCCTGTCCTCAGGGGCACCGCCGGCGACGGGAACGTGTCCTCTGTTTCGGAGGCCGCAAGCGCGCAGGCCGGGTTCCCTGGAGGCTCTGCGGACGCGCCCTCCATGCGCACCGCCTGGCGCCGTGCCGCCCACCATCGGCGGCTGAGTCACCCCGGTCTCTGTGTCCATTTTCACGTGGCCATCGTCCCCGAGTGCCCGGATTTTCTTGACCATGTGAGGGCACCGCGATTAGATTCGGGGCCCCCTAATCCGGGTGGCCTCTTCTTAACGCAGTGACACCCGCAGAGGGCGCGCTTCCGAGCCAGGCCCCGCCCCGTCCCGGGGCGGGGCGGGGCCGTCCTGGGGCGCCCGGCCGGGTCTGCTCTGAGCCTTGCATCGGTCCCCCTGCCCTGCCGGGAATCCTGCGTCCCAAGCTCCCCACAACCGCCTTGCCCCCGCCAGCCCCAGGTGCCCTGCAGCCCGCCCTCCCCCTCGAGGGAGCGGGAAGCAGGAGCCCTGAGCGCCCCGGGCTCACCGGCTTCGCCCCGCAGAGCCACTGCCCTGGCCGTCCCACCTGCAGGAGGTGAGGGTGAAGGTCAGGCGGAGTCCCCTTTGGGAATGGATCTGTCGCTGCACCTTCCCTTCCCAAACAAGGGAGGGTCAAGGACGACATGCTGTGCGCTGGGGGCCGGAGTCGGGGCCCCTGCCAGGTGGGACCCCAGACTCCCCCCGACCCCTCCCAGCCCACGAGTGTGGGACCCTCCAGCCCGGTTGCCCGGGGGTGCCCGGAATGCTTGTTGAGTGCCATCTCCCCACAGGGCGACTCCGGGCCGCTTGGTGTACTGCAGGGATTGCCCCCTGTTCCAGGTGGGGGTGGTGAGCTGGGCGATGTCTGTGGTCACTGTGACTAACCTGCAGTGATTGCCTGAGCGCTGAGCTTTGTGTCCTGGATCCGCCAGTACATCCCTCTGTCCCCCAAGTCCCAGGGGGTTGGTGTGGGGTCTGCATGCTCTGGGGACACCCCCATCTTCCTTGTCAACACCCTCAGCTCCTTCTGCGGGCAGCCTCGATTCTTCTCCCACCTGCCCGTTGTACATCCCTCCTGCCCTCCTAGGGCTGGTCCCCTTCCTGTCCTCGGGGGAGAGGCCCGGAGGCCCTAAAGGCAGGGGTCTCCCCGGAAGGGGGGTGTGCCTGGGAAGGACATGGCCCTTGGCCCACTGCCTTCCCCTCTCCTTAAGAATCTCATTAAACTGTGTGCCCAGCAGCCTCCACGAGGTCCAGCATGTTTTTCCACAGCTGTCCTCAGGCAGGGCTTCCCCGGGTCCCCTCCATTGCCGCCCACCCCTCTCGTATCAGCGGCCCACCTAATGGGGCAGTGCTTCCACAATGGCTTGTGGGGAACTGTGTCCACAAACAGCTTGGGTCAGGGACGGGAACAGCTGCCCGGGGTAGAGGACGGCCTGAGAGGGTGTCGCTGGACCCGCTGGGGCGGCAGCCTGACGAATGGTCAGGTTGCCCTTGGACAGAGGTCTGCTGGGGGGTCTCAGGGGATGTCCTTGGAAGGGGGTGACCAAGCCTAGTGGTGAGTGTCTTGACTCCAATCTAAGAGTCTCGGCCTCGGTCATGTCTGCAATGGTCCTCGACCTCCACAGGGGTCAGACACACCCAGTGGTGGAGGCTCTGCCACACTTGCTTTGGCACTTGGCTCTGGAGCTCCCACCCCAAGCCTGGGACACAGGGTGTGGCGCTCACTCTGGGAAGCCCTTGAGAACTGGGGTCCTGGATCTGCGAAGTCGGCTGGGAGCCACTGGGCACTGGGGCAGTGAAGTGCACATCCCTGCTGGGCTGGGGTCAGTGGGGATGGGACCCATTGGGGCAGCCTGAGGCAGTGGGGGGCAGCTGGGAGCTTCGGACGGGGATGTGGAGGGCTGGGGCTGCTTGGCCAGGTCGCGTGGGTGCCCACCAGCAACCTGCAGCACCCCTGAGACTGCCCTTTGTCCACTTTCCTATTGGTCGGCCAGTGTGTGGAGGGGCTTCACTGAAGAGCCCCAGTCTGCTCAGGGTCTGAGTTCTCCTGGGAAAAGTTGTTCTTCTGGGGAGACCAAGACCTCAGCTAGTCTGCACGGGCTTGTGTCTGGCCACACCCACAATGTGACCACTGGTCACCTAAAGAATTTGGCCCAGGGCCCCTCCTGTGCCTCTTATTGGAAGGCCTGGGGTCTGGGTGTGACCCTGGTGGCAATAAGCAGTGAGCTCAGCAGGCCTGCAGGGGTGTGGAGGGGAAAGAGGGCTGGGGTGCTGACACCCCATCTCTGCTCTCCTGGCGCAGCAGGCCAGGGGAGGGCGCTGAAGACCGCATGGCAAAGAGAAGGTTCAGGCCCCGCTGCCTGTCCTGTGCTGGGCGGTGGGTCTCCCCACACCTTCACTGCACCGTCTCTCAGCACCGCCCCCCACCCTGGGGCGGTTGGGCTCCCTGGCTGTGAGGGGAGGGGCCGGGTTCAGGTTGGGCGACGCCCATGTCTGCCTAGTGTCTGATGAAGCTGTTTGCACACCAAGTCCAGGGCAGGGCGGGGGCATCTGTGAGACTGATGGCCCCCCCACTGGTCTCCTGGATGAGCTGGGCCACCCCACGACCCTGCTCTTCACATCCTGTAAAGCTGGCCCCCCAGTCGGGGAAGATCCCATTGCAGCGCCTTCTGGGGCCTCACACCCACCCAGGGCACTCTGCCCTGGCCCCAGGCGCGTCGGCCTCCCCACTGCTCCCACATGCCCCCTCCCAGAGCCCCTGGCCTGAGCTTGTTTCCACCCCTAGGGCCCAGGACTTCCCAGGTCAGTTCCCGCCGCGTTGAATCAGGTACCATTGGGTGCCTCTGGTCCTGGAGGGGAGATGGGTGTCCTCATGTCCAGGGGCAAGCCTCCCACCCCTCAGGGCATCCTCCTGTCCTGCAGATGGTGGGTGACCCCAGAGAAGGAGGGAGGGCAGAGGGAGGGATGGGAGCGCCGTGCTCCGGGAGGCAGGGACGGGGGACTCTGCAGCCGTCTTCCCAGGGCCTCAGGGTGCCAGCCCCTCGGTGACACTGTCCCTGAGGCGGAAGCCTGCCACCCACACCTCACTTGTCCCTCAGCTTCAGCTCTTCGCTGTCCTTGTTGAGCCTGTTTCCCAGCACAGTCTCAGGCGGGCCCTCCGTTCACTCCACGTTCGCATGGCTGCACGACTGGCACGGTGCTGGGGTCCCTACGTGTTTGTTGATTGACTGAAGGGCTGATGATTAGCACTGATGGCGGGAAGCGGGGAGGCTCAGCGTCCCCCACAGGCCTTCCCCAGGAGGAGCTGTTGAGCTGCAGCTGGGGAACGTGGGGCTCAGGGGACGCACCCACGAGTTCCATGTCGCTGAGCCCTGGTGCGACCCCAGAACCAACGCCGCGATTCCGGGAGGCTCAACCAGAGGTGACACCGCCCGGGGTTACGTCACTGAGGGTGGCCTGGGAGGAAGTGCGGCCAGGGGCAGTCCTGCTTTCCAGGAGGGCACCTCCCTCCCCATTCTCCTCACAAGTGCCCCGTGTTGCTGCCCTTTCATGTTTGCACTATGGTTAGAAAATCTCGTCAAAGTCAGTGAAAACAATCCTGTTGGGGTTCGTATTGGATCTATAGGTCCCTTTGGGAGTGGTGACGTCTCCGTGATTGACCGCCCTTCTATCCAAGACCGTGGTGTATCTCTCAATCAAGTTAGGTCTCCCCAGAAATATGTCCCAAAAGCACACACGCGTCCAGAGCAGCTCTGTTCCCGACACCAGGCGCCCGGGGGCGGGTGGAGGGGCAAACACGCGTCCACCCACCCGGGAACAGTCCTCAGCAAGGACATTCTGACACATGCTGCCATGCGGATGGACCCTGGGGACATGATGCTGTGTGAGCAAGACAGACCCCAGAGGACACGTGCCGAGCAGTTCCCCTTCTGTGGGCAGAGCCGCGGGGACAGAAGGTGGAAGGGTGAGTGCTCCTGGGGACAGTGTGGGGCGGTGACAGGCTCTGGGTGGGTGGCCGCGCATGTGAGCGGGCCGTGCCCCTGAGCCGGACGCCTGCGGTGGTTAAGGCGGTGAGTGTTAGGTTATGTGTAGTTTACCCCAATAATGAAATCAGAAAAAAATCCTAATAACGTATCATAATTTCCCTCTTTAGGATTCTTGTACCTCTTTTAACAGATTTATTCCTAGAGACTGATGGTGCTGGCTTCTCATTTGATGTTCGAGTCGTTTGCTGATGGTGTGTAAAAACACACCAGACTGTTTTTCCTTTTTCTTTTTCATTGTACTTGTCAGGACTTCCAGTACAGTATTAACTGAAAGGGAGATCATGCCTTCTGGTCTTATTTTGTTCTGTACAGGAGACCCCTAATTGTCACCCATCTGAGGTCGCATCTCAGGTCTCTGTTTTTATACACAGGCTTCACCAGGTAAAGAAAATTCCTTCTGATCCTCTTTCCGAAGAGATGTATTCTTTTACATGATGAATTGATGTCGAATTATTTTTGTCTGTGTGCTTATCGAGATGATCATATGATTTCTCTGTTTCAGGCTGTCCACAGGGTGAATTCCATTTATGGTTTTTCTAATGACCACCCAGACTTGAATTCCTGTGACACCCCCAGCTTGGCCACAGTGTTTGATGCCCGTATCCCTCAGCGGATGTGATCTGCACGCCTTTGGAACAGTGTGGTGTCTACAGTTTCCCTTCTTACAATGACTTTAGTCTGGCATTGACATCAGTGCCAGTTAAGTAAAACTGGGCTGATCAATTGCTTGAAATTTTGGTAGCATTCACCTTTAAGATATCCATGGCTGGTGCTTTCTTTTTTTTTCCCATAGGTTTTTTTCTTTTTTTATGGTCCCATTTTTAATGATTATTTTTCCACAAGTTGTGGTTTCCACGATCTTTCTGTAGGATCTTTTCTAATAACCACTCAAACTTGAATTCCTGTGACACACCAGCTTCCAAAACACAGCACGAGCCATACACCTTTCCAATAAGTTGGATTAAAAACTTATGCTCATCAAAAAACACACTTAAGAAAATGGGGGGAGTCACAATAAGCAGTTATAATTCACCTTCAATGAAATTCACCTCCTTTTGTGTACAGATCTAGGAGCTTTGGCTAATGTGTGCAGTCGGGGCACAGCCACCACAGTGACGACAGAGAACAGCTGCTTCACTCGGAAGCTTCCTTGGGCCCCTTTGCGGCCAACCCCTCTCTCCGCCCCAGGCCCTGGCAGCCCACGTGTATGTCGTCTTCTGTAATCTCGCTGCTTCAGGGATGTCACATGCACGTCCCTGGGGTCGGGGCTCATTGCTGAGCATAATGCATTTCAGGCTCATTCATACGCTGCCCACATCCGTACTTCAGCTCTTTCCACTACGTGGAAACTCCAACTGTTTACCTGTTATTATTTTTTTTACTTAAAGTGTTTTTTTGATTTTTTGTTTTTAATCTGAATGTACTGGTTGCATTTGTGTTGCTTGGGTTCTGGGAGATTATGCTTCAGGCCAGGACCTAAATCGTGTGTGAATATCATTTTCACACTCCTGCCCATGTGAATTTATGCCTCACCTCATCCTCCCTAGACCTTGGCTGTCATCCTCGCGAAATGCTGTTTTAATAGATGTCTATTTATTTTAACCCACATTTCCTGACGATGAACGATGCAGTGTTTTCATGTGCTGTCTTGCCACCTGCACGGTTTCTTGGGTTCACTTTCAAATCTTTTCAACAATGTCTTTACTTGTGTTTTCGTGTTCTCGTTATGGAATTTGGAGAATTCTTTATGTTCTGGATACAAGCATTGTACCGTTTGCAAATATTTTCTCCTTATTGTGACTCCTCCCATTTTCTTAAGTCTGTTTTTTGATGAGCGTAAGTTTTTAATCCGACTTATCAAAAAAGTGTATGGCTCATGCTGTGTTTTGGAGAGTATTTGCGTGTAACACTTTTCTGTCTCTTAACTTGCAAATTTCGCTTCTCTCTTGTAAACAGTGTCTATTTGGATGTGTTTTCACATCCACCTTCAGTATTGGCCTTTTAGCTGGTAAGTGCACTCTCCGTTCTCATTACAGTCATCAATCTCCACAGGCTGCTTTCTGCCACCTTGATGCCATCCTGTCTGGCCGTCTCCTTCCCCTTCTTCTCTCACCTGTCTTCCGGTGCAGCCCCAGCGAGATGAGATGCTTATCCGCCTCGCCCGCCGCCCTGCCCACCCCACACGCGATGCTGTCCAGACTGTTGACTCTGGGTTACTGTGGATGTATCTTCTCACCTCTCTGATGCTATCTATTCTTCAGAAATAACAGTAACCTTTATCATGCTATTGAATTTCCTTTGCTGAATGTATCTCTTGCAACATTTTCCTTTTATCTGAGAGCTCTATCTAAACTGTTTCAGAGGTTTGAGATGGGGGGTTCCCAAGAATAATACCTATGTTACCCTCATCCTTAAGTGGAGGTTTGCTTGGTTCTAAATTATTGAGACTGTGAAGTATTACATTTAAAAAAATTGCATTATAAAATAAAATATATTATATTTAAAATAACATTTTAAATATTATGTTTTAAAATATTATATATTAGTGTTTTATATATATATATGTAACACATACATATACATAAAAATAAGTATTTAAAATACTACTCATTGTCACTTTGCATTTACTGTCACAGGTGAATGATCTGATACGACTATTTCGTGTTCTTTCCAATGACCCGTGACTTCTCAGAGCACTGAGGGGACAGATGCCCCGACCCGCTCACCCCAGCCCCGGCCCTGCCCCTCTTCAGGGCGTGGCTGCTACCTTAGCTTCGGCTCTGCCAGGAGCAGGCCCTGGGCAGCACTGGGGGTGGCACAAGTGCACACGGGACAGAAACTGGGGCACGGAAGGGATGCAGCCGTGACGTGCGCATGGAGCGTGTTTCCGCTGTGGGCAGCAGGGGCACCTTGGAACCAGTAGAATGTTAGCCCTCGGAGGGCCTGGGAGCATCTCTTTGAGATGTGAGGCTCAAGGGAGAGAGCAGCACACGGCCCCCAGTTTCTGGGGGGCAGGAGTCTAACTTTGGGGGCATCTTTGCTCCAGGTTACAGAGCGCTTGCTGCCATAAAGTGAGGGGGGCCTGCGTTTCCTCTGGTGGAGCCCATTAGCCAACACTTTCTCCCCAGGTACCAGGTGACTCTAGTGTGAACTGCGTGGCCAATGGTGTTGCCAGGCCATCTGCCAGTTATTGCTCACCTAGCTTGGAGGACTAGTACCCCTCCCCTGGAGTGGGAACAGGTGGGCCTACTGGGCCCCATCAGAGGGCAAGAGCTCTTTCTGTCTAGGCATCTCAGGGCGACCACCGGTGATGTGCGCCACGTTCTCGTTTAAGGCTGATTCAATAATGAAAAGCTTTCCTTTCTCCGCAACCTTGGTGGAGAGGATTTCTGGGTTGAAAGATTCTGTTTTTAATTCTATTTCCCCAGTGTGTGTGGGGGTAAGTGAGGGGACAGGGGCACAGATCTAGGACCCGGGATTCCCGTCCATTTGCCCCACTTCTCTCCCAATTTGCCATTAGGTCTGGGGGCCCAAAAGGCCTTTGAAGTGTCCAGGACGAAGTGGACAAGTTTGCAGTTCCTTCTCTGCCTGAAAGCCAGGCAGAGCTGTGCCTGGGTCAGACGCATCACAGCCCCACAGCCCCGCCACGCTGGGGTCAGAAACAACGGGTGCCCTCAGGTCTGACAGCCCCGCGCTGTGGGTGAGGGGATCCAGCTCCCCCAGTGCAGGGTGCTTCACCTGTGCCCTGTGCCCCGGGGTCCTGAGGAAGGCAGGCACTGAGCCCTGGGCTCCGCGGTGGACGAGACAGTACTTTCCAGAGCCGTGGTGTGTGGGGCCTTCTTCCTCATCTTCTGCCTCAAACGGCACCGTCCCCGAGCCCCCAGTCCCCTGCCCCATCCCGGGACTGTGAGGGTGGTGGCGTTCTTGTGTGAACCACGAGTCTCCAGTGATGGGATGTCCGGGCAGGAGCGAGCCCCTGGGGCTGGGCTGTGTTGGGAGGAGTGGGGAGCTGATGGGATCCTCCCACCCACCCCTCCAGGCAGAAGAGCTCTGGGCTCCATGGGGGCAGGTCTGACAGTGGTGTGGACACTGTCCCAGGCAGAGACACAGACACAGTATCCACCTACGACTATGTGCACGATGGCACGTGCATGCATGCATCTGTGTTTGCGGGAATGCATATGTGTACACTGGCCACGTGTCCCTGGCCTCCCTCAGCCTTTCAGAGAGGACAGGAGGGTGCCGGGGCCAATGGCCAGGCTGCCGGCTCAGGTGCAGTGTGACCGCCACCAGCCCCGGCCGCCTTGAGGGCTGCGCTTTATACATTTTCACATAGATCATCACGTGACACCTGGGGCTCAAACTGGAAACAGTGGACAGGTGGGGGCTGCTCGCCAAAGCTGTTCCACATTGAGGGAAGGAAGGCAAACCTTTCTAGGCTGTGTCCACTGCGGCTGGGACAGGTGCCCCCGGGCGCCTGAGGCCCAAGGCCCCTTCCGTGCCTCTTGTAGTTCTGGGAGGCCAGGCAGCTGGGCCCAGGGGAGCAGAAGAGACCAGGCTCTCCTGCCCTGCACTTGGATGGGGGTTCCTGCCCCTGCTGGGCTGGGGGGCCTCCTGGCATCCCCCTGATGCTGCAGCCTGGGGCTGAGCCGAGACAGTGTTGGGTGATGCCCCCCTCCCATCACGGAGCCTCTTCTTGACACACTGAGCAGGGCAGGTGGCCTGGGGGCAGCTGGCCAGCAGTGCACAGGTCTCCAGAGGGTCTCCAGAGGGTTCCCTGTGGCCTGAGGACCCTGTCTCCTCTCCCTTGGGCTCCTCCTTGGACAACATATCCTCCCCACCCCCCAGCCATGCCAAGAAGCCTGGGTCCCCATCATTCCCAGGCCTCAGGCTAGGAGCAGAATAGCAGCCACTTAAAGTTCACCTGCCTTGCTTGAGGTCACACCCTGAAACACGAGCAGGGACTGCCATTCCCATCAGCTTCTCAAGCCCCCCCAAATCGCCTCCATGACCTGAGTCTTCCCACGGGACGGCTCCCTGAGGGCCGAACATGTGTCCCTGTGTGTCTGCCCCTCCTTGTGCCCACTTCCTGTGGGGAAGCATAAATGGGCACCCTGGAGGGGCACCTTGTCCACAGTGCAGGGGCCACATTCTGCCCCCCAGGCCTCTCCAGATGCTGTGGCTGCTGATCCTGACCCTCCCCTGCCTGGGGAGCTCCCTGCCCATGACACCGGGTGAGTCCTGAACTCACCCAGGGCTCCCAGGACAAGCCCTGGGGGGAGCGTGAGGACCCCGCTTGTGTGAAGCTCTGCTTGCCGCTGGGCTCCAAGAACATCATTGTCTGGGTCCCTCATGGCCCCCCAACTTGCCTCCCCAGCCCCTGGCCCAGGACATGAGGTGGGCATTGTGGGAGGCTGTGATGTCTCCGCCAGACGCTACCCGTGGCAGGTCAGCCTGAGGCTCTACTACATGAGGTGCTGCTGGTGGCTGCATGAGTGTGGGGGGTCCCTCATCCACCCCCAGTGGGTGCTGACCGCTGCCCACTGCTTTGAGCCGTGAGTACCCCCAGCCCACGTGGCTCACGCAAGTGGGGTGGGGAGCAGAGGGCTGAGGGAGCTTACTGGCTGGCCTGAGTGCTGGGGTCCTGCCTGACATTGTCAGGCCGGGCAGAGAGGAGAGGGTCCCCAAGGGCACCTCTGCATCTTCTGGCTGTTGCACTGCTGTGTCCTGTCCCCTTGGACACTGGCCTAAGGCATTTGGAGGTGCCTCTAGGGACTCTCGGGGAGGTCTGGGGTCTTCAGGACAGCACGCTGGGGATGGCAGGGGGTCGGTGGGGTCCAGGTCCCTGTCTACAACCTGCTCGGTCTCTGCCTGCTCCCCCCACAGCACCTGGGCCCATGGGAACCGTGTGATGAGCCAGCTTTCATGGAGAAGAGCCTGGTCCCTGTCCCAAGTGGGCCCAGGCTTCTGTCCCATACCCCTGAGGGCTGTCATGGGGGCTGTGTGAAGCTGGGTAATGCCCGCGGCCCAGGGGCGGGTTCAGGGCAGTGGCACCGAGCTGGCAGAGTGGGGGTCGGGGGGTGGATGTGGTCTCAGGTCAGGGCTTCCAAGGCCCCTGTGCTGGGAAAGAGGAGCAGGCAGCAGCCATTCCCCCACTGCTTGGGCATCTCTGTCATTGTCCTGGACGATCAGACCCATGGCATGGACCTCCCCCGTCAGGTGGCACTGCCTCGGCCTCCCGGGACCTCAGCTCTGCCCCTCCCGCCCCAAGGCTTATCACCCCGCAGACGCCCCTTCTGAGAGACGGAGCTCATGTGCAATTCAAAGTCTGAAGGCTCAATGCCTTTTTTTTGTCCCCAGGAATAGCTCGCCCTGCTTGGCTGGGGGGCATCTGTCCAGCACCGCCAGCTCCTATGTCTCTCTCAGCCACCCCCCCACCAGGTGCCAGGAGGATGTAAGTCCTTCAGGGACCCTCAGACGCCAGCACCCCCACCTCCTGTTTTGCCAGCTCTGAGCCTCAATGCTCGGCCGCTCCCACCACCCCACACGTGCAGGGCCAACCCCTGGGTGGGGGCCTCTCAGGACAGTTGTCCCCAGATGCATTTGCTGAGGCCGGTTCTCAGGGGACTGGCCCAGCCTCCAGAGCAGGAAGGGGAGGCGCAAGGAGAGGACCCACTGGTCAGGCCCGGGGGCCATGGGGGCCCCACCCTGCTCCCGGGAAGTGTCCAGAGTGTGTAGCTCTGTGGAGACAGAAAGTGGATCATTGATGGTCTGAGGCTGGGCGGGTCTGAGGCTTAGAGTCCTGAGCATGTCGTGAAGTTGCCTGGTGGTGGCGACGTCTGTGAAGGTCCTAAACCCACCGACTCATACTCTTCAAAGCTGAACTGTGTGGAATGTGAACCGTACCTCAAGAAAACTCTTTTAATAAACCCAAAGAAACATTAAACTTAAAAAAAATTTGAAAAGAGTCTGTAGTTTCCCAGATTGATCCTCAGCTGAAAAGCCCTGCAGAGGCCCAGGCACCTGCATCCACATGAGTGGGGGTCCCAGGGTCCATCCCTGAGGGATGGGGGTCCTCCAAGGAGGCAGCCCCCGGTCTGCAGCAGGACCATGTGGCAGAGCCCAGCCCCGCCCGAGTTTGTGGAAGCCCCTCTTAAGGGTCCTGGGGGCGTGGCTGTCCCTCAGCCCCAGGGCACAGTCCTGTACTTGGCTGCCCATGGGAGGGACCTGCGTGGGGTGAAGCTGGGATGCTGAGGGCAGACAAGGGGGCTTGTGGAGGTCAGCTGGCTCGACAGCTTCCCGTGCCACATGCTGGCCCTGCCCCTCGTCCCTCACTTCCCAGGGTTACAGGGCTGGGCAGGGACCCACCTGGGGTCACAATGACCCTCCTGTCCTAGGTCTGAGTAGCCCACCAAGCCACAGAAACCTCAGATCCCTGGTGAGGTCGCCTGGTGAAGCGCGGGAAGAG